TATTTCTCGCAAAAACTGCCATTTTTTAAACATTTAGCTCTGTATCTTCGAAATGGCTGGACTTGATTTTGCCAAAAACTAATTACTACTTCTCCCAATCATTACAAATTGAATGTTTTTTGGCTCACTCAAATTGGATACTCCGTTTTCTCAAAAACTTGACTTCTATTTTCTGCACTCTTTGCTCTATATCTCTATATAATGGCTGGACTTGCCTTTGCCAAAAACTATTCAGCACATTTCCCTATCAATAGGAATCAAACGTTTTTTGAACCATTCAAATCGGTTGAACGGTGCGCCCGAAAACGTGAACCGAAAAATACGGTCACACAAAACACACGCACACCTCCATTGTTTCTGAGGTATGCCAAAATGGTCAGAAACCTTCAAAGCGTGAAGAAATGCAAAAATTTTCATTTTCGATTTTCGGCCCCATACATAACTATCCTACGGGAAGTTAATAAGTTTATTTAGTAACCGGAAAGTTAATCTTTGCCGAGAATATTTTTAACTTCCCGTAGGGCAAGTTATAGTAATCGCAAAAAATCGAAAATGAAATTTTTTATATATCTTTACGTTTCAAAACCTTCTGAACATTTTGGCATACTTTAGAAAAAATGGATGTATGTGTGTGTGCGGATGCAAATTTTCGTCGATGATTTCGGGAACACGGATGAAGCGATTTGAATAATTCAAAAAACATTCGAATCGTATTGATAGGGAGACGTGCTGATTAGTTTTTGGCGAAGACAGGTCTAGCCGTTCCGAAGGCATGGGGAGAAAAGTGCCAAGAACGGTAACTCAGATTTTAAGAGAACGGAGCCTCCGATTTGAATAATTCAGAAAATATTTTACTTGTATTAACAAGTTGAAAAACTGATCAAATTTTCATGAAGGCAGATCTAGCGGTTTCGGAGATTTAGTAAAAAAAGTAAAATAAAATGCCATTTGGCGGTCAAAAATGATCATTAAACATATGCACATCAAATTATCAGATATTTTATAGAGATTTTAACAATGAGTATAAATTTGGTTCACATTCCTATGGGTTCCGTACCAATGTTTATCCGTTAGGCGGCGACGCCGCGCTTTCGCGCTTCGATATTCCGTCTCCATGCAGCTAAAGCAATGCGATTGCTTTGAAAAAAAGTTCAAAATTTCCAAAATATTTCAAACTATTTTTTTTTTTTTCCAAAAGCTTTTTTTCCAAAAAAGTGATTTTTTTTTTCAAAAATTTATCGTTTCTCAAAAATCTAATTTTTTCAAAGTAATTTTTTTCCAAAAATGTTAAACTCCTTGGTACGGGAAGTTCCAGCAATTTGCCTTAAGGCACGATGCCATGCGCCCCACTAGTTTTTTTTAAATTTTATTATTATCAATTACAATATAATTGGATGTGTTATTCAATAAAGATAAAATGCTATAGATAATAATAGAAACTTACTAATTTATGGAAACATTTTATACAGTAACTACATTTATGATTTATATGTGGCGCCACACGGTATCGTAATTGGTAAACTATACAACCATCGTTTATTTTAAAATAAAATGCGTATCATCTACTTTTTGATAATGTAGACAAATTTATACTATTTATTAGATAAATGCTTCACAATTTATACAAAAATATTTACTATATCAGATTATTTTAAATAAACCTTCTTTGTATTCAAATTAACATCCACAAAAGTAAAAACTATATCATACTTGTCTATCTATTTCTTCTTCTGATCATGTTATGACTTGTTACTATAAATTATTCGTACATGAGCAATTAGTAATTGTTTAGTTTTCTTTAATTGCAGCTATCGGATAACTATGTCTTAATATCTATATTGAATAATATCAATAGTTCGATAAAGGGTTAGTGCAGTAAACGGAGAGGAAAAAAGGGTATAACCTCTGAATTTTTTTACTGTGCTATGAATTGAATGAAATTTTGGAATTAGGTTTATCTTACCCTCAAGATTCCTTTGATTTTTATCTATATGCGTTTATACGTATCTTTTATTCTTTTTGAGATATAATGAAAATAATTTCGATTTTTAAAAAAAAATTGTGAATTTTTATAAAATCGTGAGTTTTCTGAAAATAGTTTGTACTAAAATTGTGAATGTGCTAGGATCCATCAAGATGCCTATAATGAAGTGAATTCTAGATGGAATGTGAATTACTTTAATTCTGGTGGAAATGGCGCTCATTAAACCATATTAATTGAAAGAAAAAAACTTCGTATATGCTTCTTATTTGCATGATAGCTCACTCATTTTACATGTAAAAAACTTGTAACAGCACTCATTTTAAAGCTTATGTTGAACAATATAAAACCCAATTTCACCGAAATGCATAAAATGTAAAACCTCGACACTAGATGGCTTTAAATACAATTAAATCTTGAACGAAATAAAAAACGACTTTGCTCTTTCAAATCTTGCTTAATATTTTTCCTAGAACACTTTATGTAATACCGATTTATTAAGATTTTTATTGACATTATTTTGTTCATTACATGATTTTCGTTAAAATGTATATTTTAGGAGATATTTGAAAAAAAAAAAACAAGAAAAACGTCAAAAATATATGAATCTTTAGTGGCCAGTAACTTGAAAAGTATTAGTTTTTTTGAAAAAACTATAAGAGACATTTTTTTCTTATAATTAGTTCTTCTATCGATTTCCGACGTTATTTTGAAAAAATGTAATTACACAATTGAGAAGGGGTGTCATCCCCCCGGGGGGTGATGGCGCCAACCCGAATTGTTTTCACTTCTGATCTTAAGGGTAAGATGAACCTAATTCAAAAATTTCATTCAATTCGGAGCACAGTAAAATAATTCAGGCCTAAAACGCTCCGTTTACTGCACTAGGTAGATTTTAAGAAAAAGCTTGAAGACAGATGGCGCGCAGTGCGGATTGGTTAAGCGCTCGCCGATTCAAAATGCATCATGTCGCTGTCGCTGCTACTGGACAGTTTTGTATCAGTTTGAATTGAACATTGCACATTGCAAGATCTCCTGGTAGTTAAAGTGAAAAACGTGTTCAACATTCGAATCGAATGCAATAGATTTAAAAAAATATAATAAATTATATTTTTTCTCAATTTTTAGTTAATAAGCATCAAGGTATGTATTTTATTTAATATTCATAAATATTGAACTATTATGTTTAATTTACTGTTTATTTTTCTCGGTGTTTTAATTATACATATATTTTTAGAGTTATCTCTAAAATTAACGTACTTTTGATTTAATATTAATATTAATGAAATCTGTTTTGACAAATTTTAGTATTGAATTTTTTATTATTTGTTGGAGTACTTTTGAAGTTCACAATATTAAATTAATAATGCGTATTCGTTTTTTTTATTAACTTCAATATTCCTATTCCAATCTAATTTAAGTCGTGTATTACTTTTTTTCGAAATATTTTTCTAAAATAATAAATTTATAAGGATCCCATATTTTTTAAAAAATATTAATATATCATAAAAATCTGTATTAAAATTTATAAATTTTTATTACATAAATAAATTCTATTTTAAAAACACAAATCGATATTTATATTAATTTTCGTTCTCTTAGTTTTTACTTATAATATTTCACATCCTAACCTTAAGGTTTTGCTAAGGATAAAATAATTAATTTATAATAGATCTCATATTTTTTGAAAATATTAATGTATTCTACAAATCTCTCTCAAAATATATAAATTGTATTAAACGAATACATTATATTTTAAAAACAAAAATTGATATTCACTAATTTTCATAACCTCAGATTTCACTTATAATATTTCACATCCAAAATTTGAGGTTTTGCTATGCAGTCGCGAAAGATTTTAATGACAAATATTATTTTTTTTTCTTATATTTTAATTAATTTTTTTCCACGCAACTATTTGAATATAGTCGAGCAAATAATTTTTAAAATTATAATAAATACAATTTTATACTTATCTGTGCAACTTTTAATTTTAGATTTATGTATGTTTCGAAATAAATTCTGAAACTTTTTTCATATGTATATGTATGTATGTAATTGTTACCTGATAAATTAATCATCAAAAAATATTAATTCATTTATCTTTTATCTTTGTATAGGGTCGCTAAAAAACTCGTATTTTTAAATGGGCTCTTGAATGATAAAAGTTTAAGAAAGCTTGCAATATAAAGTGTATTTATAGTATAATTTATTTGCGAACTATTTTAAAAACTAATTTGCATTATTTTTTTTAAATCGAAGTTTAATTTTCGTATTCTGATGAACTTGTATTGTATTTACTATAAATGAAACACGAGTTCGCTTTTTCTATCTTTCATATCACATCAATTTGCATAAAGCTTTCAAAGTTCAATATTATTATAAAGTTCATTACTCAAATAAGTGTCGCTTATATAATAATTATTGGCTTATACTAGAACATTTATATATTTTTTTAATTTAAATTAAAATATTTCTAATATTTTACTGACATCGATCAATTTGCTGTTTGAAAAATGAATTCTAAACTAGCACGCATCATTAGCACGTGACCTTTGAACTTATTTATCTTAGGAGCGCGATTATTCGCAGGTCACAGGCCGACCTGCGAATTGAATTAAATTTACGTAAAAAATAAACAAAAAAATCTTGCTTGTTTTGCAGATACTTTGTTTTTTTCTTATACGATAAGACAATCAATTATCTTACTTTGTATATATTTAACGCTATGAAAAAATATAAGATTTCCGATACCATTTTTTATTGAAATTAATAGTTTGAAAATTAAATGTAATAGTTGAATTTGTTTACGCATATCTGGCAATTTTGTTTACTATGTACATTACTCATATTCAGATTTTCTAGATTTTTTTTAAATAAACCTTAAACGTGATTTTTACGAAATAAAACAATTTTAAAATTTTAACTTTTTATTAGTAATTTATAAATATGCAAATAGTATATAGGGTTTCTCAATTTATTTATTATTTTAAAAAGACTTATTCGTTTTGCAGGCAAAATGAGGGTGGCGTTTGCCCTGGCTTGTGCGTTTTTGATCGCGCCGTTTGCAGTAAAAGCTCGTGATGTCACGTAAGTCTTTTTAATTACATATATACTCGTATCTAACACACTGGCATTAAAAGTAGAACCATCAGTTATAGTATTTGGTATTATAACATACGTATCGAGTTATAACATATTGAACTATTGAAATTACAATACGATTCCGTAGATAATTGCAATATGATATATGCTTATAAGCTTATTTCTGACAGGCCAGTTAATTTAATATAAATATAAATATAAACTAGTGGTGTATTGCATCCTGCCTTACCGTAATAGAATATTCAAGGAATAGTAAATGTTTTCAAATAGATCATTATAAACATTGAAACTTTCTATATTTGTATTTTATAAATAAAATATAAGAGCTTATCAATTGTACGACGGCGTTTATATATGTTTAATGAAAAGTAAATAAATAAAAAGTATATAAGTGAGCTTTAGAATTTTAGCTAGAATTGAAATTTAAATCCAAATTATTTTCGATATTCATTTTTTTTTGAAAATTAAAAAAAAAATCTTACCCAAAGCAATCGTTTCGTGAACAAAACCAGAAAGTTTGTCGAATCATTTAAATTGGATGCATCGTTTTTTAAAAACTGACATTCTTCGCATACTCAGCTTCGTATCTCCATAACGGCTGGGCCTGCTTTTACCAAATACTAATCACCACTTCTTCTCATCTTTACAAATTGTTTGGATCATTCAAATCGAATGCTCCGTTCTCTCAAAAACTCGATTTCCGAAACGGCTGGACCTGTCTTTGCCAAAAGCTAATCAGCACATCTCCCTATCGATAGAAATCGAATGTTTCGAATTGAAGGAAAAACCCTGAAAACAGCTCTTTTTTCACATACAAACGTTTTCTAACTAAAACGTAGAATCAATTTGAGCTTTATTGCTATTAAAGTTTATTAAAGTTCATATTCAATTACAAGCACTCACTGTATACTCCTTCTAAACGATTATTCGAAAACTATAATCTGCCAAAAATTTCAATTTACTTATGAACCTAGACAATATATGCAATAGAATATGCATAATAAATTCATGATTATGAATAAGAAAAATGAAAAGTCTACATTATTATTTTCGAAAAGCAGCTGAGATGTGCCAGAAATTAAAATAATATAAAATACAATATATGTATGTCAGATTGAATTATACACATATGAACAAATATGACAAATTAATTCACTTAAAATATAAAATTAAGTATTAATCAGCCTACCTTTAATGCGAAGCATGCGAAAAATACGAGCGCACGCTTTAGGGGGCGCCAAAACAAGATTCGGATATTAAGTTTTCAATATAGTTTTTTTTTTCAATATATAATTTCTTTGCATCTTTTACTAATCTTTCCACAATATTTTAAAAATGCATAGAAATTTTACTTTAAAACAACAAATGGGAAAATAGAGATGAATACATACAATTCGGCCCTCACGATATCGATTAGGAGAAGTTTAAGATACAATTTTAGATATCTTAAATAATTAAAAATTAAATTAATTTAATCCAACATGAAGTACCAGTGTATTGTTATGGATATGGTTACGTTATACCGTTTAAAAACTTTAATTTCCAATAGAGTGTGGGAATTGAGACTCATAATTTTATTTAAAGCAGTTCTACATTTAACATCGCTCATATTATAAATGTATATGCATTTTGGCGTGTAAAGTAATTTAAAAAGCAATAATTATTATTTTTAGGTAAACGGTAAATATTAGTATATTATATTAAAAAACTGTAGACATGGGTACAGGACAACATCTATCGGGTCATCTAGTATATAATAAAAATATAGAAAAGAATACAAGCATAGACATTAGTATACGTATATTTAAGATAAAAAAAAATGAAGAGATTGAATTTTTTTAATATTGAATTGAAATTGAAAATGTAAATGTTTATATATATATATATATATATATATATATATATATCTACGTTTCAAAGTTTTCTGAACATTTTGGCATACCTTAGAAAAAAACGGATGTGTGTGTATGTGTATATGTATCCGTGTGTGTATGTATGTGCGGATACAATATTTTGTCGACAATTTCGAGAACACGGATTAACCGATTTGAATGATGTAAAAAACATTCGATTCCTATTGATAAAAGGAGACTTGCTGATGAGTTTTTGACAAAGGCAAGTCAAGTCATTCCAAAGATTAGACATATGCACCTCAAATTATCAGATGTTTTATAGAGATTTTAATAATAAGTATTAATTCTGTTTATATTTCTATGGGATCCGCACTAATGTTTATCTGTTATACTGAAATGCGGCGTGTACGAGTTTCGACATTTCTTCTCTAAAACAGCCACGCAGCACGATCGCTTTGAAAAAGGTTCAAAATTTTCAGAAAAATTCAAAGTATAAAAAATCGAATTAAAAAAATCCAATTTATTCAAAAAATTTAGTTTCAAAGACTTCAAAATTCTCAAAAATCTAATTTTTTTCAGTTTTCAATATTGTTTAAAAGTTTTTTAAAAATTTTTGGTACGGGAAGTTCCTGCAATTTGCCTTAAGGGGCACAACTAGTGTAACCGCCTCAAAAAAGGTGATTTTTGTGAATTTATATTGAAAAAACTACGTTATCAATCATTTCAAAATTTTAGGAATATATTTATACATGTTTTAAGAATACATAGTAAAATTTTTGAAGAAAAAAATTGAATATTTTTTAAGTTAGCGTCGATCTCCAACGGCGCGACAAAAAAAAGGCCCTTCACTGCTGCGGCCTTCTACGTGGATGAAATTTAGAAAAAAAAATCTCGTTAAACTAGATAATATTGTCTGTAAAATGAACTACGATGAAGAAAAAAATGAAAAATTGACAAAATGACGGCGTTTTTTAAAAAAAAGTCGAATTTTACCCAAAATTTTGGTCGTTTTTGGTCTGCCAAAATTCGATTTTTGTTCCGATCAAAAAATCGATAGTTCATTTTACGGAGAACTATATATAGAACATGTAAAAAAAATTGATAGTGATCGGATCATTTGTTTTTGAGTAATCGCTGCAGCAAATTCGGAAAATGCTGTTTCGAGAAAACCGCGTTTAAAGATTAAATGATCGTTATGCTATATACCATATATATACTCTTTAAATAGCTGTAACTCAAAAACTCTTTAAGACATCGATTTAAAATTTTGGTATGTTATTTTTAAATGTATAACCTATCGAAATATGGGAAAATTGAAAATTCAATTTTTTTTAAATTTCATACTAGTTGTGCCTCTTAAAACCCGGTGCCATGTACCACTAGTTATTGGGTAACTTGATTTCACTTCCACACGAACGCTTTGTATGAAGGTCCTTTCACTTGGATCCCATTCCTCCTGGTTCCTATTAAGACGTTCGCTAGTACATAATACAATACAATCGAGGTACACCCGTACACGATCGCGTACTAGGCGCGCGAGTGAGCGACTGAGGTCTTTACACTCGGAGCATAAACAGAATCATGTAATAAATTTAATGCCTTCCTCAACAAGACAATAAACTAAAATATAACAAAATTTATGTATAAAACATATGTTCGTGCATGGCGAGCGGCAACTAATAAACCTTTCAAAGGCATCGGTTCATATACCCCAATGTTTGTTTATCCTGCACCAACATTAAGCTTCTCTGAAGTAAATTTAGTTCGCGGCGGGTACGTCGAGACAAAATACTGTGCATTGTTCTTAACCGAAATATCGCGTGTGCAGGATTCCATATAAAGACTCTTTGTTACTATTGTCCTTCCATAATGCATTGACATATCCTGTGGTAATAGTATACTACTGCATTTCCAGTTTTCTTTTATTATATCGTATGTTATGTTCCAGTTTCAAATGAATTTTGAGCTTGCTTTGTAAAACTACGCCTAGGGTAGAGCGGGGCTTAAAGATCCATGGGTGTAAAGGTCCACCACCAATATGCCAAAAACAAGTAAAGTCATTTTTCAACAATATTTGAAAGTAGAGGAAAGAAGATGTGTAATCAATGTGTAAGCAATGGCATTGAATTAAGCAATGTTGTTATCATGAGATAACGGCCATGTTTGAAAATCTACAACGAAAGTATTTTCTTTTATTGTTAGTTTTTTAGTAGTGAGCACTGTTGCTTAGTTTACGAGACCTTAATATAATTTTTAAGTATACTTTTCTTAAGCTTTAATTATTATTGTAAAAGCTTACACGTGGGTCGGGTAAAAAGGAGCAACTGAACATTTAGCCTGTAAAAGGTGTAAACTATAAAAAATAGAAAAGGAAAAAGTAAATTAAGTTCAAAAATATATATATGAAAAACTAATTGTTTTCACATTCTATCAAATGTGAATTGTGAAGTTTCATTTCATTCAATCCAAAATTGGACTCTGTTTACTATGTAATTGTAGTACAACCACAAGTAGGGGGCTCGGAGTTTTTTGTAACGGTTTTTTTAAAATCAATATATCTTGAGATTCACTGTTTATATTTCCACAAAATAAAGATAGGCGAAGGCTAGGATGCTAGCTGCAACGTATGGATTTCAAAAAAAGGAAAACATTTATATAATTTTTTATTATCTAACTAATATGTATTATATCAACATCAAATTCAAGAATATATATATATATATCTTATATATAAAATTCTTCTGTAACAATGTAAGTTTCATATTTCCTCCTAAACTATAATTCGGATTTTCATTAATCTTCCTGAAGTTTGTTCGGGAAATTTTTTAGAATGTTTTGATTCATAGAAATATAGTTAAATTGTAGAAATAAATAGAAAAAATTACAAAAAACCGCTTATCATTGTTTGCCCTTGAAAATATTTGAAGCTTAGTTTGACATTAAAAACAATTGAGGACTGTCATTTGCCAAACATTTCTATTCACTTATAGGCTAAGGCGATATTAGAATACGATAAATTCATAATTATGAATAAGGAAAATGTAATGTCTACATTATTAATGCCGAAAAGCAGCTGAGATGTGCCAAAAATTAAATTAATATAAGATGCAAATAATATAACATGCATTTGAC